ACTACTCAGCCACAAAAAAGAATGAAATAATGCCATTTGCAGCAACATGGATGGACCTAGAGATTATCATACTAAGTAAAGCCAGCAGAGAAAGAAAAATGACATAGGATACTGCTTATATGTGGAATCCTAAAAAAAGGACACAAATGAACTTATCTACAAAACAGAAACAGACTCACAGAGAACAAACTTATGGTTACCAGGAGGTAAAGGAGGTGGGAAGAGATAAATCAGGAATTCAAAAATTGCACCTCTTGGGGAGTGATGGAAATGTTAGCCATCTTGATTGTGGTGGTGGTTTCATTGGTGTATACATCTATCAAAATCCATCACATTGCACCTCTGAAATAAAGGTGTTAGAAAAAAAACTTACGGTTACCAGAGGGGAGGAAACGGGGTGGATGGATAAATTGGGAGTTCAGGATCTGCAGATACTAACTACTATATATAAAATAGATAAACAAAAAGGTCCTACTGTATAGCACAGGGAACTATATTCAATATCTTGTAATAGCTTATAATAAAGATGAATATGAAAAGGAATATATATTTTAAAAAACTGGTTATTTGAGGGCGGATAGAGTAAGAGCACAGGTGTGAAGGAAGATATATGGGTAAGGAGCCTTAAGTTTCTCATCTTAAGAATATTTTAACCTTTCACATGCATTATTTATTTAAAACCAGGAGAGAAATTTATGTACATCATATTTTCCTATGCTTAATCATTATTTTAAGTTAATTTTTGCTTTTAAAAATTAATTTTAACTTTCCTACATAGGAAATCACTCCAAGATTTAATCCTTTAAATGCTAACAGATATAAAATTGCACACTGTAAAAAATTTACAAAACTTTCTGACAAGAACATTATAGTTTGTCCCTCCACGACACGTCACAGGAAATGAAAAGCGTAATATAAAAATATTAGGGTTTGCAATTAAACCCTGAAATAAGACCAGGAATTTAAAAGACGTATAGAAGCTTTGAAGTGTTTTCTTCATATCAACAAAAATATAAATTCAATGGCTTTTTCCTCACATCATTTAAAATAAGAATGCATTTGCTTTAGGAACAGTATAGCCTTTTAAATGCCAAAGTTCTCTATGGGCAGGAGGGCATTATGCTAAGTGAAATAAGTCAGACAGAGAAAGACAAATATTGTATGATACCACTTCTATGTGGAATCTCAGAAATACAACAAATTAGTGAATATAACAAAAAAAATAAAAAGCAGACTCACAGATACAGAGAAGCAGCTAGTAGTTACCAGTGGGGAAGGGGGAGGGAGGGGCAATGTAGGGGTCGGGAGTGTGAGGGACAAACTACTGGGTGTAAGATGGGCTATAAGGATGTATTGTACAACACGGAGAATAGAGCCAATGTTTTGTAATAACTGTAAATGGAATGTAACTTTTAAAAATTATATAAAAATACATAAGTAAAAGTTTAAAAAATTTAATGGAAAAAGCACCTGAGCACTTAAACACATCCACCTCATACTGAGGTTCTTTTGCCTACATGGAACAAAATTCTAGTTGGTTCCACAATTTTCTTGCTTTACTCACACTGTATCTCTCAATCAACTTACATATTAGAAACCTCAAAGCGAATAGAAACTAGAATCAAAGGATTGCAATCTTCAGTTGAGAAAGGAATCCAAAGAAAGAAACACAAATACTGGAATCAAAACAGATCAGCAGCCTACTTGCTACAGTTCAGAAGAAAACCCCGCTTCCAGAAAGATGACCAAATTCCCAGACTTGGGTTCTAAACACTCCTGGTGGGATACCACCCCTAGAGTGGACTGGTGGCTGGAGAAGGAGGGTGGGCACACCTGAGGAGCCACAGGGATGAACTCTGGGAGCTCCACCCGCCCTCCCCTGTCCTGTAAGCATGGAAGCTCTGCCTCCACTAGACTTTAGTCTCACAAGTGAGGAAACTGTCAGCCTGATTCAGTCTCAGGTTCTGACCCAAATTCATAAACCCTTTGTCCATGAGCCAGAACAAGTAATCGTGACAGATTCTTTCAGTGTGCACAGATTGTACCAAGTGCACCTACACTGTGGATGCAAAACTCAAACATAACGTCCAGAGCTGTCTAGGACTAAGGAACCACAACTACCACCTTAGAAAGGGAATCACCTCCCCATTCACCCCTCTCTCCCCCCAAGCCCCATCCCCGCAAGTGCATGTGTGTCCCCAGTTTCCAGGGCTCCGTAGCTTCTCTCAGCTTCAAGGCTCCTTCCGTGGCAGGTGTGAGCAGGGAGGACACCCGCAAGGGAAGGCTCCCCTGGAAGAACACCTGGGTCTGTGAGTACTTCTCTTTACAGTTTCAAGGGGGCCTTTGCATGAATCACTGACTCCAGGCCTCTGCTCTGCACTGGAGTTGCACTGGAACAGGGTTGATGTTTTAACTGACACAAACCTGGTGTTTGAGCAATCCAGTAAAATAAATGAAATCCACTGTCTATAAAGGAGGTATGAAAACTGTAAGGCATTGTGACTAGTTCAAAACCTTCAAATATCTACTATTTTCAGAAAAAAAGATGTAAGAAACTGGTTTGCAAATAATTAATCACACTTGACCATTTGGTTTGCAAGTTGAAGCACACACTGCATGATCTGTGAATTTCACTTGAAATCACCCCAAAGCAAGGAATAGTCATCAGAGACTTGTGACACACACTTAGGGAAAGAAAAAAGCAAAGCAAGAATTTTCTTTTAATGGAATGTAATCCTGGAATATTTTCCCCCTGAAATTCGCCACTTTCGGCTCTTTGGAAGTATTTTATAGTCTTTGAAGCTGTATTGATTTTACATTTTACTGTTTTCGAAAAAATAGGCATTTAAACAGATGAATAAAGCTTTTAAAGGTGACAATCCCAGGGAGGGCAAACGCTGACAGGACACATCACCCAGGAAAGTTTAAAGAGGAACCTCCACCTATAGGAAGTCTGTGCCCAGGTGTTTCTGGTAGGAGAGACACAAGGATTTCCTGCAACACAGTTCCAGGCGGTTATTCCCTGCATTTTTCTCATGGAAAATATCTATGGATAAAATGAAATTTTAGAGCCATCCAGAGCTCTGAGAGAAAATGATAAACAGTTAAAATACTGGGTCCGTCTGAAATGCACCACGGAGGATAAATAGTTGATAACGATGCCGTGAATCAGGAAGGGAAAGTTGGCTCTGGGAACGTGGGGTGGGATCTGCGCATTTAGGGATTTATTGCCAGCCCTAGAAAGAGCTAGGCTGAGAGGACAGAGTCGTGGATTTGAGTCTGCTACTCAAATAACAGGAAAACTCAAAAAACAGATGCCCCATGGAAGAGAGTAGGGACTGGGGATCCCACAGGCCACAGCTGCTCCCACGCACGAACCTCGAAGTCCGAGTCACGACTGTTTCCCGATGACCCTCCCAGTGGTCACCGCACAACCTGGGGCGGACGCGGGGCTGGGGGCGCAGAGCTGACCAGAAGCGCCGGGGCCGAAGTCACCAGGCGCTGAGACGGGACAGGACGCCAGGGGTCCCGGCTGCCGGCCCCGCCCCCACGCTGCGGGCCGGAGGGGACTGAGGTCCGAGCGGCGCCCCCCGCGCACCCGGGTCCGCAGCCTGAGCTGACCGCGGGGAGGCCCGCAGCCGATTCGGGTAGATTCCAACCAACCGCCTCCTCCCCTCCTCTCCGTCTTCGCACCCCGGAAATACACACTCACCATTTCTGGGTTTCCTGGGTCTCCCTGAACTACCTCTGTCCCTAGCGACTCCCACGACCAGCGCGGGTCACAGCGTGCCAAGGCTGAAGCAGCGCCCCCAGCGCAGTTTAACGGTAGAAAACCGGCTCGTTAGCCCGGCCTAACGGAGTAAGAACGTCCACGCCGGGGCGGCGCGTCGCCCCACCCACTTGCCCAAGCGGCGCCCCTGATTGGACAGTTAGCAGGGCCGCATTAGTGCTTAAGTGACAGCTAGGCGGGAGGACGCGTAGCTCCTGGAAACCAACTTCCCTCAGGCGGGGGAGCCTGACCCAGCCTGACACGTCTGTTTCCAGGCCTGGGGCTACCCACTTCGTATTTGCTCAGCTCTTTGTGAGCCCATGAACACAGGGAATTTCTGATTGCGTTTCCAAGTGGAGCAAGAAAGAACAGAACATGAGGGTCGCCCAGGGAGGTGTATGATCAGGCCACCCAAGACGGCTGTTCTCTTGCTCTCTGTGCATCCAGGGCCCCTACCAGTCCCTGCTTCATCTATACCCTACTCACATGACTGACCCGCTCTCTTAATCACAGAGCCTAATCAGTAAACTTGCCCTGGCTAGTGTTTGTTCTAATCTCTAGATCAGAATGTCTCCACTGCCAGTTTATCCAAGGGGTGGTGAGGGGTGTGCTACTCTGCTGGTTTCCCTGGTAACTGAGTAGCCAACCTGAGGTCAATTTCCTTTATAATTGGTAACCTCCCCCCAGCATTGACTGCTGCCTTGTCCTGCCAGCCATCTGCTGCCCACAGTAGGGTGTAGCTCCAGGACATTTTTGCTTTGGACAAGCAAGCTCCTCTCTCCATTAAACCACTGATGTCTGTCACTGATTCCTGTCTTTCTTTGGTCTTGAGGCTGGGCAATTACAAGGCTTGCAAATCTGCAGGGTGCAGCCCAACACCAGGCCACACTGGAACGAGAGGGTCTATGTCCTCTAGGGGTCAAGGGTTTGGTGTACGGCTGGGAGGCCACGCGTGGAACTGTAACTCCTTTTTTTTTTAGAAACACAGAAATTAAAATGTGACTTCACCATCTGTAATGGAGTCTGGCTCTGTTTTAATCTTTGATACTTGACAGCGTTGAGCCTTCCATCCACCCCTGCTCCAACCCTGCTCATTTATACTTAAGAGAAAGGATCCTAAGCCCTTGGCTCTGGTGGGAAGTTTGAACCCTACAGCCCTCAGCTGGGCTCAAAGACTCTTTTCAGTCTAACCACAGGGTGTGAGACATGTTCATTAAATTCTCCGGTGTACATTTTATATTGGAAGGAAATTTATTTTCGATCAGTTTTTGCCTTTGTCCCTAGAGAATTTTGAAATGTAAACAGCTATATCTCTAAGACAACTGATTCCTGTTTTCACTAATATAAGAAAACTATAAATCATTACATAAACTTGGGATGCACCTGAACCTCTTTCCATCATACTCCTCCCAGATTTGTTGAGGTATAATTGATTAATAAAATCGTCTATATTTAAAGATTACAATGTGATTTGATATACATATACTATATTGTATACCTGAAATTTGCTAAAACAGTGGATTAAGAGTTCTCACCTCCCCTCCTCATCCCAACACACACACACACACACACACACACGCACGCACACTATGTGAGCTGATGGATGTGTTAACCTGGAAACTCTAATATGCCTAAGAGACTGGATTGCAAAACTCCTGGGTTCAACTCCCAGTACCTCCATTAAAATAAATAAATTTTTAAAAGGGGGTTAAAAAAAAAGCAAGCAAGCTTTAAGTAGGCATTAAGATAACCCACGCAGGCTGCTAACTAGGGTTGAAAGAGAGGTACATGGGCTGGGGAGTACGGGGAGGTGGCAGCCCTCGGCATCAGTCTCTCTGACCTGATTGCTGGCAAGCCAGCACGTGCCAGCCCCTCTACCCAATCCAGCGGACCTCCCAGCAAGCAGGGGGGCTTTACAGGGTGAAGACGTGCCTGTGCTGACCCTCCCTCACTCACAGATCCCTCCTAGGGGTGCCGGTCCTGTCCCATGTCCATATTTTGTCCCCTTCCTACTTGGTTATGTGGGGACCTTTTTGCAGCTTTGGTTGTATAAGAGATCTGCCAGTTTCCAGTTGCTAATTGTTCCACGTGTAGATGCATTTTTAATATGTTTGTGGGGGGAGGTGAGTTTCACATCCTCCTACACTGCCTTCTTGATCCACCTTCCAATCCATGTTTTTATTTTTGCAGTTAATCTGATTTGTACAGCGTTTGAAACACCAAGAAACGTATTTCCCCTTCAAATGTGCATGTATATATAAAGATATCTGTCCTTAATGCTCTGAAATCCAACACTTACCTGTTTTCTGCTCAAAATTCCCAAGGTTGGCTAATACTTGATGAGGGACCATGAGACTACAGAAAATATCCAAAATGCTTGCTTATGGAAAAATTAAAACAAAACAATAATTTTAACCAAGTGAAACCAGGAAGCACATGTGTTCTATAAATTCCAATTATTTATGTATTTTCACAGTAAGATCTGAGGTAAATAGGCCCTCAGTGTAACGTTTCATGTTTCCTTGACTAGGAATTAGTTTAATATTTGCTGTAGTGGTGAGGGCCAAGGGTTTCAACATCCTCCCGGGTCCTCGTTATCTCCCTGCTGTGTTTGGATATCCCTTGAAATTCATTTGAAAATAGAGTCTGTGCCCTATATCTGTTTTATTCCACTGGTTTTATACTGGAACCCTGTTCACACAGTGGTCAGGTGTGTGGTGGGAAAATGTTCTGTTATGTGATTAAACCTGTTAAATGTTTTCATGGGACAAAATCCCTGGACTACGCACGTCAGAAGAGGCTCCTGGCTTTTAGTCCTCACTTTCTGTCACAGAAAAAACTCGAAGGGTCAGGGAGTTGTCCGACTGCTCCTTCCCCAGTCTGATAAGGCTGTGGCAAACTAGTTTTCCTTGAGGGATGGCCTAATTTACAGGAAAAAGAATGCTTTCTATGTATCTGTCAAAATGTTTTCCCCCATTTCCTGCAATGAGCTGTATGCTACGTGTATTTTAAGTGTTTTGGACATTTCATGATTGGCATTGATGATGTATTTGTGGAAAGAGATCACGTATGCACAGGTAAGTACCAGGGACTCCCATGACAATGAGCATGTGAGTGCAAATGAGGAAAACAGCAATTTGTGCTGGGTAAGCCGGAGGGGCTTTGATGGAGTCCCAAAATCAAATACGACACTCAGGGTACACAGACTACAGGTGATGTCAGGAGGGGGGCCTGGGAGTGGGATAAAGTGTGGGGGCCTGGGTACACTATTACAATAAAACAAAGACCTGCAGGAGTGACCACTCTAACAGAAACACCTAGTATGGGAAGGTTCTACTTGTAATCCAGTGCCAGTAGTCCTGGTGAACAGGACAAAGAAATAGGCCACAGAGATTGGTGACTGAATCTAATTAATGCTGCAACAGCAGGAAGACTTGTCTACAGGGAAGCAAGGTATTAGCCGTTGGGCCATCGGTGAGGCTTGTAACCTGATCTCATCACGAGAGGTCCTCTGAATGTCATTTTCAAGAACCCAGTGTGGGGTGTTCCCAGAATCCAGTTGATAATATCAGTAATTTCTAATGTGTCTTCCTTGCATTCTGGTGGTGGTGAAAGAATAAGATGCAGCCAAAAGAGGGAGTGAGGGGCCCTACAAAGTCTATTTGCCAATAGCTGTAGGGGCCCCCTCCTTGGTCTGAAAAGTCAGTCTATCGACTATATTACCAGTGGTGTCTTTTTAATCTCTGGCGCACTGGTCATACACCCAGTTAGCCATGGCAGAGGAGAGAAGTCCCTTGAATTTTGTCTAACATTTAGATTAGAGGCCAATAAATGGTTATGGATTACATGCACTCACAGGTCAGATTTAACACCATTACCTCTCAGGCACAAGAATGTAGTCAGAAAACCAAGTAAATTTATTGCCCTCAGCAGGGAAATGAAACCACTCCAATACATAAGGTACAACTACTGAAAAGAAAAAAAAAAAACAGAAAGAAAGAAAAAAAGGAGGGGAAAAAGAGGAAAAGACTGAATTTCACTTGCTGATTTAAACTTTAAAACTCTCACTGTTGTTTTCCATTTTTCCACAACATATGCTGAAAGTTTAAGCATATGGAAACGAAACCTGTGAACAGCAAAACAGGCTATGGATTATGGATCACTGAAGCAAGAGAATCCCAGCCGCTCCTGCAATGAAGAGACACTGAAAATTGCCCATTTCTCCTTTTATACTCAATTAGTATATTACTCAAAATGATATGTCCTCTTTCTGCAGGTCACCTCAATTATACACTGAATGATTTCCCCTAAACAAGCATGTCTTTTTTGGTGTTTCCATTGAGAACTACAGGGAAACCTACTCATAGAACTAACTCAGGATGGGCTACAACAATGCAGATAAAGGTAACTCTTTCTCCAACCGGGAGGAACCCCATGCTTTAATGGGGGTATACACTGTGTTAATCTGTACAGCAGTAAAATGAAAATGCCAAACAGTATAATATTCTGAATATTTATATAAAAATGAAAATCCTCTCAGATGATGTTAAATACAACCCTGACCCTAACCCAGACTAAATGGCAGAAATACATGTGCCCAAATCAACAGGCAGTCTCCAGTCTCAGATAACAATGTCCAAACTCAAGACCACACATTATACAAACAAAAATTCTAACAACTGTAAACATGAAAATGAACCATATCCATGTCTTTATCTTTATGGGGAATCTTTACTGTTAATCAAGGAAAGCAGGATGTTCTATGTCCCACCTTCTACTTCCACACTCAACCAGTTCCTGGAGAGTGTTTCATATACACAACGTGGCAGAAATAGAAATGATTTATGACATCTTCATTCACTGAGCCTCCTACCGGCATAGAAAAGCTATATACACACCTCTTTTATAGCGTCTCATTTTCTACTTTCCTTCAAAGCTCTTACTTCTATCTTACAAATCAAAGCTTTACCATTTGTTAACCGTCTCTTTTTTTCCCACAAAAATATAGGCCTCAGGACTGCAAGAACTTGTTGGTCTTACGCCACTATAACCAAATCCTACAGTGCCTTGATTTACACTAAGTAGGGTACGTTGATTCTAAAGTGCATGGCAATGAGGGATGTTGAAACTATCAAGAGTAGCATCTCTGAGAAAGTCCGAGATAGTCTCTGAGAAGAGAAGACCTTATTGGAACAGTGGCCCTGCCTTTCTAGCCTTGCTAGGTTTGTGTTCTCTCACAATTTACCTAAACTCATGGCCTTAGCTGAGTCATAAAGGAGGTATTAAAATTACCATGTAGTATACTAAGAAGTGGACGTATGTTTTAACTGAGATACCATATAGTAAATGGTGTATAACACACTGTGGGAAATACAGCAGTGTTTAGATAACAAGCCGGAAAGGCAAAAGTTGTTCCAGAGGCCCGGGAGCTGGCCTGCATTCACCGCAAGGCCCGGTCTCACCCTGCTGAAGAGACCAAGTACACGGTGACTGTGATAAATCATGACGAGAAGAAGGGCATTTTGTAACCATGTCGCTAAAAATGGTAAAAGTGACAATTACAAATTATAGAAATGACCACTATTCCCCTCTTCCTGCTAATTTGAGGGATGGGGCTTCTTATGAATTAAGTTTAGCTCTAAAACATTGTTTTTGCCTTCTAGAAAGGTTTATGATTACCAATGACAAAATAAGTTTACCTCCTCATAGCACTCAACACACACAAAAAGTCTTGGTACCTTGAACAGCAATCAAATCATCTAATGCAAGTCAAACCCTACGAAAGTCCCAGCCACCTTGTATGTTACACCCCATGTCGTGTATACTTGTGGTCATTCTATCATTAGAATTCATTACACCCACCTCTTTGACTTCAGGTATGACCCTGAGGATCACTGGCAGGATAGCACTGAAAAAAACCAGGATTTAAGTTTTTGGTATTAAAAATGGATAAGAAATCAGTTTCATGACAAAAATAACTATAAGAGAAGAAAAAAATAAAATTTTCCTGAGGGGGAAAAAAACCTGAACTTGTATGTCTATGGTAAAGTTGACTCATAATGTATGATGATTAGATGAAGAAAATTGCAAAGATCACTTCAAAATCTATAATTACAATGAGATATATTAATATATCCTCTCAGGAATGAAAACCTGTTCGCATGCTATGGCTTAGGAAATAGTTTATAAAGTATTTCTATGAAACAACTACAGAAGCATTTGTTTGACCAAAAAAATGCACATACTTTTAATCACATACAACCGAATCGTAACTGAAAACAGACTGAGGGATCACATTCAGCTGCAAGTAACACAAAACACCCACAGTCTTCCTGACACATAGAAGGTGCTTATTCTCACGTGAAGGACCAGGTCAAGGCAGCCACTGCATGATGTGGCAGAGAAACAAACACCTTGTCACTCTTTTTGGCCACATCATTATGAACATCATGGTGAATCAGGAAAACATACTCGCTATTAACAGCATGAAGTGTTCCCTATACAAGTGAGACCTTACAGAGATACAATCTAGAGAGGAGGGTAAACAGAATACTCCCAACCACGGAAGCCTGAACTAGTTTCCTGGTGGACACATAAGGCCTTCCAAAAAAATCCAAACTCTCATGAACCTTTGAGGTGGAACTAGTGAAGACATCTGTGGAAACCTACACCTCTAAGAAGATGGAAATGAAACAGTTGGTCATGGTTTTGAGTACACGCTTCAGTGGAAGGACAAAGAATCTGGAAAAGGGGCTAGAAGATATGCTTCCTCAAAGCTCCTATGCATCTGTCTCTCCCTGAGTATGGTGGCTACAGAATTTCAGTAATGCTTTCTTCGCTCCTTCCTTCCAAATCTCATGCAAGTGAGGCTACTAGTGAATTCTGACGTGGGACCATAAAGAAGACAGATTCTGGAAAATCTACTTTGTCACATTACTCACAGGGAAGATACCTCCAACTCTAGATTACCTGTCCTAGCACAGACCACTCTTAAATAAAAGTCTATTCACCAAATTACAATCAGAAGGAAAGACATAAAGCAAAGGTCCAAATATGAAAATAGTAATTCACAAGGATCTATATTCTTTTGTAAATGAGGCATACGTAAATATTTATTCAACTGCTTACTAGCACGGGAGATGGAAAAAGGTTCCTATACTTGTCATCCTGAAAAAGGAGCTTCATCAGTAAGAAAGATAGAATATATATAATAAAGTAGAGATATCAAGGAATGTTCACAAGGCCAGTAGGAGATACTCAACAAATACCACACTGTCAGTTTTCAATGACCACTTAACAGAACAAATAAAATGTTATTAAAAAAAGTAAGCCTAACCGCACATTATAAATACACTTTAATTTACCCATGAACCCCACAGGCTTCAAAATAGAATGAGAACATATCATTAACTCATTTAACAAAAAAGAACTACCTATTATTATCATGTATTATTGTTGAAAGGCAACTTGCAGAGTTACCTCACTTCAATCTTCATTTCTAAAAGTGGGGTAGGTATAAAATAAGCTCCAAGGGTATATGGTATAACACAGGAACATGGCCAATATTTTATTATAACTACAAATTCAGTATAACCTTTAAGAATTGTCAATCACTATACTGTACACCTGTAACTTATTATATTGTACAGTAACTATACTTCAACAAAAACTAAAATAAAAACAATCAAAATAACTGGTAAAAATCTACAATCCAATGATATACTTAAAGAGGCTTAGCATGCATAATATTTAAATTTCTATAATTCTTTCACATTGAAAGTTTCCTCAAACATTATACATAGATTAATTTCCATCAAGCTTTGTAATGTTACTTACATTTTTATTTCTTTTCCATGAGAGTTTTTCCATGTAAAGAGGTGGGCCAATTGAAGTCTTTCTAATGCTGTTTTACATTCAAGAGTATTTATCCAGTGACTCATTTCATGCTTTCGGAAGGAACTGAGACGACTAAAGGCTTTCCCGCATTCTTCACATCTATATGGTTTCTCTCCAGTGTGCAGTCTCATGTGGGTTCGGAAGTATTCGTGACAAATGAAGGCTTTTCCACATTCACTACATACAAAGGGTTTCTCTCCAGTGTGAGTTCTTTCATGTACCTGAACATGACTAGAACACCTGAAGCCTTTACCACAAATTTTACATACATAGGGTTTCTCTCCTGTGTGAATTCTTCTGTGGACTTGTAAGGAATAGCAGTAACTGAAGGTTTTACCACATTGTTTACATTCATAGGGTTTCTCTCCAGTGTGAGTCCTTCCATGTGCTCGTAAGGAACAGTAATAACCGAAGGCTTTACCACACTGTTTACATTCATAGGGTTTCTCTCCAGTGTGACTTCTTTCATGTATTCGAAACGAACTGGGAGAAGAGAATGTTTTCTCACATTCCGTACATTTATAAGGTCCATTTCCAAAGTGAGTGATCATGTGTGCTCGGAAGCTTGAAAGAGAAAGAAAAGTTTTTCCACATTCATTACATTCATAGGGTTTCTCTCCTCTGTGAGTCCTTTCGTGTGTTTGAAAGGAACCGTGATCTCTGTAGACTTTCCCACATTCCTTACATTGGTAGGGTTTCTCTCCAGTGTGAGTTCTTTCATGTCTTCGAAGAGAACTGGGGTAACTGAATGCTTTGGTACATTTTTTACATTCGTACAGTTTCTCTCCACTGTGATTTCTTTCATGCATTTTGAAACCTACATGAGAACGGAAAGTTTTACCACACTCCTTACATTCAAAGGGTTTCTCTCCAGTGTGACTTCTTTCATGTATTTTTAAGCCCTGAAGGGAGATGTAAGTCTTACCACAAGGCTTACATTCATAGAGTTTCTCTCCTGTGCCAGTCCTGCCATGTGTCTGGTATCTGCAGACTCTTCCAGATTGTTCACAGTGATAGGGTTTCTTTTCAGTGTGAGTTCTTTCATGTATTCCAAGTGAACTAGAACAAGTGAAGGCTTTCCCACATTCCTTACATTTATAAGGGGCATCTCCAGTGTGCATTATCATGTGTCTTTGCAGGGTTCCGAGACACATAAAAACTTCCCCACAGTCCTGACATTTCCATGGCTTCTCTCTGTATTTCTGATGCTCACATGGTTTGTGTGCCATGTGACAGTGGATGTGTCTATTAAGGGATGAATGATGCAGGAAGACTTCTCCACATGCGCTGCATTCACATGATTTTACTTCAGTAGTTTCCTTGTTCAGACTGAGATTTGGAATAAGGCTGAAGTCTTCTCCACACTGATTACCCTCTTTATTTTCACAGAGTGCCTCAACCACATAACTTTTGTAAATAATGAGAAGCACATTATTAGTGATTTCTTTATTAATGATTTTACATTTATTATATTTATTATGATTTATAGGGACAGTGTAGGTTTCCCCCAGCCTGAATTGTTTAAGTTGAATATACTGAACGCTCTGCAAGAGGACATCACCCTTGCTACATTTAAACAGTAATATTCACGTGCAGGGTTTACTAATACTGTTTCCAAGTGAACTATTTTGCAAACACTGAACAACTATGTCACATTTCAGAAAGTGTTTGGGGGGAAATTTTCCTTTTTTTGTTTTTTGAAAAATTTCTCATAAACACTGAAGCATGGATCATTTGTTGTTTGCTTCTTTTTAAAATTTTGTAACACACTAGGAATCTCACATGAGACACTACTTCTTATTGTATTGAAAACTCACCTTAGTTTTCTCTCCTGGTTTTTGTATTGATCTTCAGTGTCATGATCTTCCCATGTTTTTCCTAAAGTGTAGACCCAGAAAAATAATTTCAAAGTTTTAGAAGGTTTAAAAAACTATTAGATTCTAGGTCCATGCCTAGAGCTGTGACCATGCCTAATTTCCTTACCAACATTTTTCCTTTTCCACATTCCACACCTTAGAGCAATACTCAGCAAGAACAATTCATTCTCGAATTGATAAGGTGAAGAAATGTTGTTGTCCTTACCTACTGAGGCCAGATTCCTGAAGGTTTCCCGCATCACATCTCTGTAGAGTTTCTTCTGTGAAGGACCCAGTAAAGTCCACTCCTCCATGGTGAAGTTCACAGCCACATCCTCAAAAGTCACTGAGTCCTAAAATATCCCACACATGTGTACAGCAGGATGAGTGAGACTGACAGCACTGGACATCTGTACTGCATTTACAGGAGGGTTATGTCTAAATCTGTCTTCCCCAAACATTTATCTATGATTTGATCATCAAAAACTTACTCTATCCACTTACTTCTTCATAAGATTAACAGCATCATGAAAACATGCAAATTATTTACACACTTTTACAGTTGTCTTACTACACCTTATTCCTGTCTAATAGCAGAGTGCACACCATGTTGGGGAATGATGGAAATGCTATACAAATGAAACAAGTATCATTTTAAGACCAATAATTCTTTGTGAGAAAAATTCTTTCATCTTTTTCCTTATTATCCATCTGTTACAGCACTCCACGAGGCCAAAGGTCAAATCTGCATAAGGTTTCAATGAATAAAAACAGTGAAGAACTGGAAGTTTTAGTCTTCTAGTCCTGTTACCCAACGTCAGAATCCAGGAGGCCTGTTATAATCAAACTTTTAACAAAGCCCTGCTGGCTACATTGTCCTGAAGTCCCCCAGGCTATCAGAAGTGATCAGATGCAGCTCCCTAAATGTATATATTCCTAGGGGGAAGCCTTGCTTTTAACTTGTGTAATGTTTATCACAGACATAAGTCTTTCCTTCTTCTTCTGATATGACTGAGTTAGAACATTATTTGGAACCCAGAGCTCAGACACGAGGAAAGGGCATGACAATTTAGGAAAAAAAATCCCAATACTCATGTGCCTCAGGCTGCTTCCAGCCATTTTTTTTAGAACACACAGTGAAATAATGTGCCAAAAGAGATCTTTCCTGTCAGTCCCTAACAGTGCACCCTGGGCCTGGCTGCACTTGAGGAACATGTTAAGAGCTGCAGATTGCAAAGAGTTCACTGAAGTCCACAATGGTTTTGATGGAGAATGAGTCCATGATTATAAAATACATAAAAGTGTCAGGAGCACTTTCCTCCAAAAGAATATAAAACCGCCAGTCTCCAATTTCAAGAAGAAGCTATTGTAGATGGTGCCCTGCCAACTTCTGGTCTGGAATGTCGGGAACTTAGAAGCCATCATTCTTCTCTCACAAGAAGAAAATGAAAAAACTTGAACAGTTTTCTTAGATCCATGAATGCACTGAGATCAAAGGGCAGACCAGTGTCTCCAAAATTGGGATGGAGAAAAGGAAGAGGGAATTCTGAAATATTCCCTAAATATTCTGTTCTTAACAAAGCCTATACTCAAAAAAAATCTATTTTACCAGAGTCTAATGCAAAGTCAAAAAATAACAAAAAGACAGAATAAAATATCCATGAACCCCAGGACAATGTTCTTCAACAGAATCTTTAAAATACACATAATGGTAACACCTAAAGGAAAAATCAGAAACAAACAGTAAAAATAAGTGAATTAATAAACACCAAAATTTCCTAAAATTAATGGTAGACTTCAAACTACAAATACAGGAAGCTCAGTGAACACTATAAACTTGAAAACATCAAAACTGCACACCCAACTACAGGTGACCCTTGAACTACATGGATTGAACAGCATGGGTCCACCTATACGTGGATCTTTTTCAATAAATACGCAGTCAGCCCTCCATATCCACGAATGAGGATCCCACATATATGAGGGCCAGCTATGGAGCTTGAGCATCTGTGGATTTTGGTGTCCATGACAGGTTCTGGAATCAATCCCCCAACGACACCACGGGACGACTGTGTATCATATTCAAACAAGTGAAAAATCAAAGACAAAGAGAATATATTGAAAGAAGCCAGAGGGCAAAATACATCTTAGATATAGAGAAACAAAGATTTGAATTAATCGGACTACTTTTCAGACACTGTGCAAACAAGAACAGAGTGGAGTGAAATATTTAAAGTTACGAAATTAAAAAAAAATTTTCCTAGAATTCTGGGACAAGCAAAATTATCCTTCAAAAGTAAAGAATAAATAAGGACTTTCTGAGACAAAAATTGAGGGAATTTATCATTAGTACACCTACTTTGAATGAATGTTCAAAAATTTATCATAAAAAATGTAAATGATAAAGGTGGAGGATTAGAAAAGGAATAAATTACGGTGAAATATCTTTAGTATTTAATATAGCAGATGGCACTTTGTTTAAAGTAATGTTAGCAACAACGAACGTATTTGGTAATAATATTATAGATAAGTGAAATAAATGACAGCAATGTGACAGGGATGGGAGGGGGGAATTGGGAACAGTGTGGTATGAGGAACTTGCACGACCAGTGAAGTGGTATAGTGGTACACACATACCTTGAAGTTATTTTGGGTTTGTTTCCAGACTGCCACAATAAAGTGAATATCGCCATAAAGCAAGTCACATGAAGTTTTTGGTCTCCCAGCACATATAAAAGTTATGTTAACACTGTACTGTAGTCTGTTAAGCGTGCAATAGCATTATGCCTGGTTTTTGGAAGGGTTAATAAAATTGATAAACATCTAGTCAAGATAACTGAGCAGAGAGGGAAGACAGAAATTATTCATAACAGAAGTGAAAGGAAAGGGAGATAAAAAATGAAAAAGGATTTGATACAAGCCAACATTCACAATGATAATAAACTAACAATAGAAGGGAACTCTGTTCTTGGAAAAAAAAAAGCTATACAGGACACCTGTAGCTAACATCATACTTAATGGTGAGAATCTGGATGCTTCACTGGGAATGTAGCAGGACAAGGAAGCACGTATTCAGTGTTGCACTGGAAGCTCTAGCCACTGCAGTAATAGATGAAAAAGAAATAAAAGATACGCAGACTGTTAAGCAAGAAAGAAAACTATCTTTGTTCTATGGGCCATGACTGTCTATGTAAAACATCTGGAGCATCCACACCACCAGAGACAACTCCAGGAATCAGTAAGAGTGTACATATCCCACGGCAAGGTCGAAGGATACAAATGTCAACTGCTTTGCTATAAACACACACAAAATGTATTCAACTGATCTCTGACAAAGAAGTAAAGGCAATTCAATGGACAAAAGAAAATCTTAAAAAAAAATTGCTTGAAGTAATAGCCACATACAAAACACATACACACACACACACACACACATACACACAAAGGGGAGGTAAACATAAGTCTTTCATAAAAATTAACTCAAAATAGATCACTGATCGAAACGTAAAATGCAAAAGTAAAAACTCCTAGATATAACAGGATAGAAAATCTAGGTGACCTTGTCTTTAGTGATGAATTTTCAGATACAACATCAAAAGAAGAAAAGAATCCACGAAGGAAAAAAATGATGTTTTACTTCACTGATATGAAAAACTCGTGCCCTGGGAAAGACAAGTCACAGACAAGGCTAAAATCTCTGTAAGACAAAGTTTTGGGTTTTTTTTTTGACAAAGTTTGATAAATGACTGGTATCCCAAATATACAAAGAACTCTTACACTCAAGAGTAAAAACACCAACAACCCAATTAAAAATGATCTGAACAGACACCTCACTAAAGAAGATATACAAATGGGAAATAAGCAATATGAAAGCACACTCAGGACAGAAGGAAAGAGATGTCGCTACACACTTACTAAATGGCTATTAGATGTGAAGCTGCAGGTGACTCTCATTCACTGCTAGTGGGAACATAATTTGGTAAGTCTACAATGGCAGACAGGAATTTCATGTCAAAATTAATTGTACTCATACATATATAGTAAGATCCAGCAATCACACTCCTTGGTATTGACCTAAATGAGCTGAAACCTTGTGTTTGCAAAAAACCTGCACACGAATGTTTGCCTGTGCTTTATTCATAATTGGCAAGAATTAGAGCTAAGCAAGATACTATTTAAGAGTTGAATGGATAACAATCAGTGGCATATCAATATGATAAACTATTGTTCAGTTAAAAAAATGAAATGAGGTATCACGCCATGAAAGCACATAGAGGAATCATAACAGCATATCACTAAGTGAAAGAAGCCCATCGACAAGGCTACATTCTGTATGATTTCAAATGTAAGACATTCTGAAAAAGACAAAATTATGAGCTAGTAAAAGATCTTGGTTGATAGGCATTTGGGGGATGGATGAATGAATAGGTGGAGCATAAGGGATTTGATGGAAGTGAAACTATTCTGTATAATACAGCAATGATGGACATATGCCATTAAATGTTTGCAACCCCATAGATAATATAAGAGAAATAGTCAAGCATAATGTAAAACTGCGGACTTTAACACATCAATATTGGTTCAGCAACTGTTAAAAATGTACTGGAGTAACATGAGATATAAAAAGTAGCACAAACTGTGTGGATGCAGAGGGGTTGGGTGGGAAGTACTAAGGAAAAGAATTACAGGACCACAATGTTCAACAGATAAAGGAATCCAAAGGAAAGGAAAGCAAATACACTAATTGGCTGAGACAAGCAGACTGCTTCCTACAGTTCAAAAGGAAAACCCACATTCAGAAAGTTAAACATATTCTGAAAATTGTGGTGCAGACACTCCTGACGGAAACAGGAACCCTAGAAGCGAGTCAGTCCCCGGTGAAGAAGGGTAGGGCCCCCCCCAAATGAACTCTGGCAGCTGCAGGTACTGTCCTCTTGCCTGACGGTGAGCAAGCCCCTCCCTCCCCCAGGCTTCCACTCTCACCAGCGAGGAATTTCTCAGCAGGTTCCGACCCAAATGAACTCCCACAATCATAAACACCTTGTTAAGGAGAAAGAAGAGCTGATGGTCACAGACTTCTCTGTGCACAAATTACACTAAGTGCACCTTCTTATGGATGCAACACTCAAACATACTGCTTAAAAACGTCCAAGACTAAGGAACTGCAACTACAGCGCTCTAACCCCCATGTGCACTTGGTTCTTCAGCTTTCCAGGGCTCTGTAGTTTCACCCTCTTCCATGGTGAAGGTGACCAGGTGGGGGGGGGAGGCGCCCCAAGAAGAACCATCGGGGCCTCCAAGTACTTCCCTTTGCAGGCTCAAGACCACCTTAACTTGGGTCACTGACCATAGTCCTCCACACTCCACTGGAGTTATTTGGGATCTACTATAGTATTTCAAATGACACAAGCCCAGTGTTTGACAATCCAGCAAAATCATTCAAACCCAGTATTTATTCGGAAAGGACGGAAGACTGCAAGGTACTTTTACTAGTTCAATGAGCAAACCCCAAATATCTATTTATCTGTAAAAGAAGATGCCAGTTAATTATTATTTTCACGGTAACACACTGTAAATAATTAATCACATTTGGACACTTTGATTTTCAAGTCTAAGCCCTGGAATTTCTATTGAAATCATCCAAAAGAAGAGTATACATCTCAGAAACTTCCTACACATTCTTAGAAGAAAAAATTCATAACAAATGGAATGTAACATTGTAATATTTTATTTTTGCTGAAATTCACTCTTTTTTGTCCCTTTGGAAATAACTTATACTGCATTTCAAGCTCTATTAGTTAAATACATTTTACCTCTATTGAAAAACAGACACTTAAATAAGTGAATAAATCTTTTCAAGGTGACAAACCCAGAGGGGGCAATGCTTACAGGACAGATCACCCCGGAAAGTTTCAAAGGAGAGCCTCCACCAAAGGATTTCCCATAGGTTGTCTGTTTCCAGGAAATAAACTTGGAAGAGAAAAGATTTCATATGATATATTCCGGGTGGTTATTCTCCGCTTTTCTCTCACGTAAAATATCCATAGACCAAAACAACAAAAAAAGGAGGAAAAAAGAAAAACAGAAAGAAAAAAGACAAGCCATCCATGGCTCTCTCTGGAAAAGGATAAGTAGTTAAGATCCTGAGCCTTTTTGATATGAATCCCGGAAGACGAATAGTTGATAAGGATGTTGTGAATCAGTGTGGGAAAGAGTGCTCTGGAAATGCGGGGAGCGATCTGGAAATTCAGTCATTTATTACCAGCCCTACAGAGAGCTACTCTACACAGGCTCGTGGATTTAAGACTCTGTTTCCCAAACATTTGGAAAACTCAGGAGAAAAGTGGTCCCCACTGGGTAAAAAGGAGGGGTTGGTAACACAGATCCTTCCACGCACGAACCCCGTAGCCCGAGTCAACGACTGTTCCCTGATGACCGTCCCCCGCGGTCACCACACAATGTGGAGGAGACGCGAGGCTGCCGGCGCAGAGCTGCCCAGAGAGGCTCCGGGGCCGAAGTCACCGCGCACAGTGACGGGACAGGACGCCCGGGGTCCCGGCTGCCGGCCCCGCCCCGAAGCTGCGAGCCAGAGAGGACTGAGGTCCGAGCGGCGTCCCCGGCGGACACGAGTCCGCAGACTCGAGAGAGCTGACCGCGTGGGGGTCCGGTCCCTCTACGGCCGGTTCCGGCTGGTTCCAACCAGCCCCGTAACTCTCCGTTTCCGCACCCTGGGGCAGCACACTCACCATTTCTAGGTTTCCTGGGTTTGTCTCAGTCCCTCCTAACGACTCCCACGACCCGCGCAGGACACAGCCCGACACGGGCAGAGCCACTTGCGATGGTGAAGCGCACGTTAGTGACCCTAGAGGTCAGCCGGAGCGGGAGGCAACGTCCACGCCGGGACATGCGTCACACCACCCACCTGCCCCAGCGGCGCGCCTGATTGGACAGAATATACCCCGCCCCCTCGCGCTTGAGTGACAGCCCGCTGGAGAAGGCGTTTCTCTGTGACCGGTAAGCAGAGACCGTCGCCGCCCGGCACGTTTGATTTTAATCAGAACTTTTTCTTTCCTGGTCTGACTCGGATATCTTCCCGCAGCTCTTTGGGCACTGGGAACTCCATGTGAGGTGATGGATGTACTGATTAACTTGGAAATTCTTATATGCCTAAGAGGCTGGATTGCAAAACTCTTCTGTGTTGCAGAACCCTTGTTGCATTACTAATTTATCTGAGCAACTTTATTAAGATGTTATGCACCCAGTTAAAGTGTACATTTTTTGGTTCTGTGTATTGGTAGATATGGGCAGTCATCACCACAGCCAATTTTTTAAAATTCCCCTCAAATGAAACCTTGAAAAGAAACTCCTCTGCCCTTTAGCTATCACTCCCACTATTCCCAACGTCTTCCTCAATCTCTAGCCCTAGGGAACTACTGATCTCCTTTCTATCTCTAGATTTCCCTATTTGGGGCTTTCATATGAATGGAATTATATTATATATGGTCTTTGTGATTGACTTCAGTAACTTAACCATAATTTTTTTTCGAGGGACAACCATATTGTAGCATATATTATTAATACTTTACTCATTTTTGTGGCCAAATAATATTCTATTATCTATTCATCCATTAATGGACATTTGGTTTGTTTCCATTTTTTGGCTGCTCTGAGTAACTTTTTTTTTCCCCCAATTACCTATACTTTTTTTTTAACTTTTTTTTTTATTGAGTTCTAGTCATTTTACAGTGTTGTCAAATTCCATTGTAGAGCACAATTTTTCAGTTATACATGAACATACATATATTCATTGTCCCTTTTTTGTTGCTGTGAGCTACCACAAGATCTTGTATATATTTTCCTGTGCTATAGCATATAATCTTGTTTATCTGTTCTACATTTTGAAACCCCAGTCTGTCCCTTCCCACCCCCCGCCCCCTTGGCAACCACAAGTTTGTATTCTATGTCTGTGAGTCTGTTTCTGTTTTGTATTTATTTATTTATTTTTTTAGATTCCACATATGAGCGATCTCATGGTATTTTTCTTTCTCTTTCTGGCTTACTTCCCTCAGAATGACATTCTCCAGGAGCATCCATGTTGCTGCAAATGGCGTTATGTTGTCAGTTTTTATGGCTGAATAGTATTCCATTGTATTTGAGTAATGTTTTTATAAAATTCATGTACAAGTTTTCTTAAGCATATGTTTTCATTTGAGGGTAGTTTCATAGATGGATAACTGGTCAACCTAGGTTTAATTATTTATGAACTCCTAGAACCTTTCCCAGAGTGGCTACACCATTTTATATATCCACCACCAGTGTATGAGAGTTTAAACTTCTCCATATATCTTCAACAAAACTAAGTACCTCATGTTTTCATTCTAGCCATCCTCATTGTAGAGCAGTAGCCCATTGTGGTTTTGATTTCCATTTCCTTGATGACTACTGATGTCCTGCATCTTGTCATATACTCTGAACCATTTGTCTGTCTTCCTTGGAAAAATGTGAATTCAGTTTCTTTGCTATATTTAAATTGAGTTGACTTTTTATGATTAAGTTATAAGAAGTCTTTAAGTACTTTTGATATAAATTCCTCATGATATATGTAAATTCCAAAATTCTTCCAGTCTGTGGGTTGTGTACACTCTCTTGCCTTAAAATGTTTACTTTTAATTGCATTAATATACGTGCAATAAAAAATTTACATTCTCATCATTTTTAACATTGTGAAACCAATCTCCAGAACTGTTTTTGTCTTTCCAAACTGCAACTCCATACCCATTGGAAAACATTTGAAACCTATAGCTTGGATCAGACAGAAGTTAGTCTGTGGTGGTTTTGAGGATATTCTCTTTTTTCCAGTTTTATTGAGATATAACTGACATATAGCACAGTGTAAGTTTAAGGTGTACAGCATAATAATTTAACTTATATACATCATGAAGTTATTGTAAGTTTAGTGAATATCCATCATCTCTTAAAGATACAACATTAAAGAAATAGAAAAAGGTCTTCCTTTTGATGAGAACTCTTAGGACTTACTCTTTTTTAACAACTTTGATATGTAAGATACAGTGGTGTTATATTTATCATGTTGCACATTACATCCCTAGTACTAATTATCCTATAACAGAAAGTTTGTACCTTTAGACTGCCTTCATCCAATCCCCCCTTACCCAACACCCTATCTCTGATAATCACAAATTTGATCTCCCTTTTTATGAGTTTGTTTTTGAAAAATAACTGACCTACAACATTGTTAAGTTTCCTGTTACCCAACATAGTGTTTCAATATTTCTATACACTTCAAAATGATCATTAATATAAGACTAGTTATGATCTGTCACAAAAGATGTAACATGTAATTATTGACTATTTCCCACACTATATATTTCATATCTGTGACTCATTTTGTGATTCTAAGTTTGTATCTCTTAATCTCCCTCACCTATTTCTTTCCTCACTCACCTCTCCCTTCTCTGCCAACTACCTGTTGGACTCGGCATCTGTCACCCTGTTTCTGTTTCGTTGTGTTTGCTCATTTGTTTAGAGTCCACAAATAAGTAAAATACAATACCTGTCTTTGACTTATTTCACTTAGCATAATACCTTCTAGGTCCATCATGTTGTTGCAAATGGCAAGATTTCATTCTTTTTTATGGTTGAGTAATATTCCTAAACATATATTTATATATACATCACATCTTTATCCATTCATCTGCTGATGGACACTTAGATTGTTCCCCTATCTTGGGTATTGTCCCTTCTGGCGGCCAAGTTTCTGCTGAGAAGTCAGCTGATAGCCTTGTAAGAGTTCCCTTGTACATAACTTGTTGCTTTTCCCTTGCTGCTTTTAATATTGTTCCTTTAATTTTTGCCATTTTAATTACCGTATGTCTTGGGCAGTCCTCTTTGGATTGATCCTATTGGGACTCTGTGATTCCTGAACCTGGATGTCTGTTTCCTTTCCCAGGTTAGGGAAGTTCTCGGCTATTAGGTCTTCAAATATGTTTTCTGCCCATTTTCTCGCCCTTCCTTCTGGGACCCCTATAATGAGAATGCTAGTACACTTGATGTTGTCTCAGAGGTCTCTTAAACTGTCCTCAGTATAGTCAGTTTACAATGCTGTGTCAACTTCTGGTGTACAGCATAAGATTGTCCTACATTCCTTACATTCATAGGTCTCCTTTCCATTATGAGCGTTTGCATGGTTTTGAACAGAAGAACTGGGACAATCAAAATCTTTACTATGATTTTTACATTCATATACTTTCTCTCTGAGTTCTTTCACAATTTCATAATGAACTGAGACAATCAAAGGCGTTCCCACATTCCTTACATTTATAAGGTCCGTCTCCAGTGTGCTTTATCATGTCTTCAAAATTTGGTGTTAGATCCAAAGGCTTTCGCACATTTCTTGCATTCATAGGGCTACTCTCCAATATGAGTTCTTTCATGGTTTTGTAAAGAACGCAGGAGACTAAAGGCTCTACTACAATGTTTACATTCATATGGTTTCTCTCCAGCGTGAGTTCTTTCATGGTTTTGTAATAAACTGGGACAATCGAAAGCCTTCCCACATTTCTTGCATGGATAAGGTCCAATTCCAGTGTGTTTTTATCATGTGTATTCGAAATTTTGAGGGAAAAATGAAGGCTTTCCCACATTCCTTACATTCATAGGGTTTCTCTCCACTATGGGTTCTTTCATGACTTTGAAGGGAACTGAGGTAACGGACGGTTTTGCCACATTGCTTACACTGACAGGGTTTCTCTCTAGTATGTCTTCTTTCATGTTTTTGAAGGAAACTGGGATAACTGAAGGCTTACCGCATTCCTTACATGCACGAGGTTTCTCTCCTGCATGAGTTCTTTCGTGTCTTTGAAGGGACCTAGGAGTACTGAAGGCTTTACCACAGTCCTGACACTCATAGGGCTTTTCTACAGTGAATCCTTTCATGACTTCAAAAGTAACTGGGACAATCAAAGACTTTCCCACATTCCTTACATTTATAAGGTCCATCTCCTGTGTGCTTCATCAGGTGTCTCTGAAATTTGGTGAGAGAACTGAAGGCTTTCCCACATT